GTGAAGCACTTAGCACAACGCCCAGCAGTATAAATCCTAGTTATAATGTTACAGAGATACGCTTTTACCCAGCTATTATCACTGGCTTCACTAAGGGCAGAAATATAGTTTCATAAGCCTTAGTGACCTTTAGACAAAACTCTACCCAACTTCAATATGGGGGGGGGGGGAGCAGGGAGGATGGGGAAACCATCTCCAATCACTTCCCATAAGTTGATTGGGGGCATTTTCTACTCACTACTGTTTACACCTACACACAAATGTATATGGCTTTAACCCTCAGATCTTCACCTGGCAGAGAGGAGAGAATTTACAATGTTTCTTCACCTGGGAGAGAGGAGAGAATTTACAATGTTTCCCTTGTAAAGTTCTCTCCTGACAAGTAGAGAATTCTGAGACTTTCCTCAAAGCAAATTCACATTATGTGCTGCTTATTTAATGGCCGTATATGTACCATTACCTTTACTTCATGCCGGGAAGGGAGACTGAATCCAAGATTGGGGAGACAGAGCTTTGGGAAGAGGACTGGGAAAGAGGCTGCCTCAAAGGGTCAAGTGCAATGAGGCAAACAAGATACCAGCAAGCCTTTCCCAAAAGAAAAGGACCACTGACTATCCAAAATCCCAAAGTTATTAAGTGATTAAAGTTTAGTCCCATTTTAGATGCTTTTTCAAACACTGTGGTCCAAAAGGATTTAAATACCCTTTCAAACTTTTTTTTTTAGAAGCAGGGAAGAAGAAAATGACGTAACTGCAGTAATGTCCACATACAGACCCAATTTTAAAATATCCATGTATCTGTCCATCCATCATTACTGTAGGAAAAATGCCTGATCTTTCTCTTTTTTTGTCAATTAAGCAAAACTAATCCAATTTATTTTATCTGTTTAAGTTTATAAAACACTGAAGGAAATTTCTTCATAATTAGTCTTGAGACATCAGGCATTGTTACTCCAGACAATTTTTTAAAATCTATTTGTCTACATGACGTGCAAGATATCTATACCGCTCTCTCATCCCAAGCCATCCACCCCAGAGAACTGAGGAAAAAGGGAAAAGCTTCGCATAAGGCACCCCCCAGTGTTTCTATGGAAAGGGCACACACAGGGAGCCCAGTGCTCCCCAGCTGGTGACAGCCCAAGGAGAAAGCCTTCGCCTCTTTCAAGAACAGCCAGAAGAAACCCAACTCTTAGAAGACACGGCCTCAATTGTAGTAATAAAAACCACCACCATCAATAATTATTTAACATTTATTAAGCACTTACTATATATTAAGCAATGCAATGCTAAACCTTGAAGGCTTCTTTTCATGATACCTAATTATCATCTGAATTTCTGATTTATTACTTCAGTACCTAGAGAGTCCCTTGATCAACAACTGTTGTTGTTTTTTCTTTATTGATTTGAGAGAGAGAGGAAGGGAGAGGGAAAGAGAGATAGAAACATCGATGAGAAAGAACATAGACTGGACGCCTCCTGAATGCCCCTCTCTGGGGATTTGGCCCCTGACTGAGGATCCAACCGGCGAACTCTTGGTGCATGGGTCCATGCTCAACCACTGAGCCACACAGGCCGGGCTCCACAACTGTTTTATCCTCACCCGAGGACATTTTTTTTTTTCCATTTTTTTTGTTCAGGTAGAGTGGGAGGGAGAGAGAGGAACAGAGAGAGAGAGAGAAACATTGATGTGAAAGAAACACATCGAGTGGCTGCCACCCGCACAACCGACCAGGACCGGGGACAAACTGCAACCGAGGTACGCGCCCTTAGCGGGAACCGAACCCGGGTCTCTCCGGACCGCAGGCCGACGCTCTAACCACTGAGCCAAACCGGCCAGGGCCACAACTGTTTTAATAGGTGGATGAAAATGATTAGCTGACAACACCATGGAACACCTGTTTACACAGCTATTTAAACAGTGTACATGATTAGTCTCCTTCAGCTTGAAGTATCTGATCTTTGAAAAGTGATTTGAAGTGTTGTGATTTTAGGGTGGCTGGAACTTCAGAGACTCAGACAGTACAAACTTCAAGGGAGCAAGCTCTTTTCCTACTGGGGTCACAAATTCTTTTTTAGGAGATGCTACTGCTTAGGAAATTTTCTGTAACAAGAGAAAATGGTCTTTTTATGACATTCATATAAAAATGAGAAGCAAAATGTTGTAATTATGTAGAAAGAAAAAAGGATAAGCAGATATTTCCAAAAGATGAACCTGACAAAATGGCTTTATACAGTGGCCAATCAGAAACTGATTTTTTTTTTTCCATTCTCACCTGAGAAGAGAGGAAGAGAAAGAGAGAGAGAGAGAGAGAGAGAGAGAGAGAGAGAGAAACATCAACGTGAAAGGGAGACATTGAGGGGCTGCCACCCACACAACCCAACCAGGGCCGGGGACAAACTGCAACCAAGGTACATGCCCTTAGCGGGAACCAAACCCGGGTCTCTATGGACCACAGGCCGACGCTCTAACCGCTGAACCAACCCGGCCAGGGCCAGGACTTTTTTTGTTGTTGTTGCATTTATCTTCAGACAGACCAGAAGGGAGAGAGGGAGGAAGAGAGAAAGAGAAACATCCACGTGAGAGAGACACATCGAGTGGCTGCCACCCACATAACCAACCAGGGTCGGGGACAAACTGCAACCGAGGCACTTGCCTTTAGTGGGAACCGAACCTGGGACTCTTCAGTCTGCAGGCCGACGCTCTAACCACTGAGCTAAACTGGCCAAGGCAAGAAACTGGATTTTAAAAATGTGAAAATGTTATGTATAAAACGCAATTCAAGTGACTTTTCCTACTTCTATAGTAACCACAAATTTAACCCTAAGTCAAAATCCACCCCAGGGACTCAGTTTGGAGAATTGCTATTAAAGTTGCTGTGATCACTTTATCCGTGACTCTTTCTTTCTGGGTGGTTCAGTCCTTCTGATGGGCCTCTTCCTAGTGTTCCACAGGGCGAGTTTATGCTTAAGAGAAAGGAGAATAAGAAATGTAGCCAGGTAGCTCAATTGTTTGGAGCATCATACCAATGCACCAAGGTTGTGTGTTCAATCCTTGGTCAGGGCACATACATAAATCAATGAATGCACAAATAAGTGGAACAACAGAGTGAAATTTTTTTCTCTTTCTTTCAAATCAATAAGTAAAAAATTGTAAAAAGAAAGAAATATATGTAAGCTAGCTGCATGTCACTACTGAACCAGACTCCAATGGCCTGCCTCTCAGCCCCCAATTCCCAGATGGTTATCTGGCCCATCTAAACTGCACACACTCAGGTAATAAGGTCTTCCTCTCCACCTGGGGTGAGGCACCAAACAGGGGTCAAGGAGAGAGGAGCAGGCCAAGGCCATCCCATGGGAACGATTTTAACTGCACCCCCCCCCCCCCCATATGCTTACTAGACTAAGCAATGCCACTCTGGCAATGGGCAGGAGCAGCTCAAGGAGAAATGGCACCTCCACCTCAGTTTTGTTAAGGGAGGAGGATCACCACAGAGAATGGTTGGGGATTCTGCATCAATTCCAGTGACCTGACCCACGGAGGGGGAGGCGCCCAGAGGGTGGACTTGGGGCAGAACTCTGGGCCTGCAGTGCTGAAGAACAGAACTGGGTTCCAGCGGAGAAGGGAGAAAAAGAGGGTGATGAGTTGTGACCTTTCTACCTCGATCTGTGCAACCTGCGTGCATTCCTTTGTCCCCGCTCGCAAGAGGTGGGAGGAGGAAAAGGAAAAACAGTCATCTCAAATCCAGGATCCGATTAGATATGCCGGATTTTCCGATCAAAAGGAAAGGCTTCCAAAGCCAGCGCCGCTGGGGCGTATAGAAGTGGCAAGGGCTCGGACGCGCACCTCTACTGGACTGGAGAATCACACCAGCACGAGGCTCCATTTCACAAGCACGCCAGGACTTTGGGATACTCCAGGGCTTTGGGATGGGCTCGGGAGCGAAGACTCCTTCCCCTCCTCCACCTGTGGGGCTGAAGATCTCCCAGGCGCGGCCAGTCCCCCCACCCAATCTCCCAGGGCAGGCGCTTTTCCTTCCTTCATTACCTCACTACCTCCTTCCCTTGACGTCAGCCCCGGGTCCTGGAGCGGAGGGGAGGAGGATGGAGATGAGTTTGGGGGCAGTCGGTATCAGGACCGCCAGAGCCCCGGGGTGAGGGGTAGGGGTGGTATATGAGGTAATACGCGCCCAATCCCCGGCCTCGAAGGCCGCAAGCAGCCACGTCCCTCCCCTCGCCTCACCTCCCCGCCTGGTGCGGACCGGTGTGTGCACCAGTTACTAGGCAACCCTATCGGAGACGCGGGATGCCGGCCAAGTTCACCCAAAGTTGAAGAGTAAATTTGGGGGAGAGTAGATGGAGGGTGGAGCGAGTGCCGGGAGAAGGCACTAGGGACAGGGGAAAAGCTTCGAAAAGAAAAGAAGCTGTCTTCCGCCTCCTGGGAACAGGAAGAAGGGGGGCGCGGGACACTGCTGCGACCCGACTACAGTCACTCACTGGGGAGTCCCGCCCCAGCTTGTAGCCCGGGGCTACAACGACATCCACAAAGCGCAACCGGCTTGGAGGACTGGGGTGGGGGAAAGCTGTTGCCCGGGGGTACGCGCCCTCGAAGTAGTCCCAGAAAAGTCTGGTGGGTGGCCAAAACGAGATTTAAGGAGCGAGAAGAACCGCAGTGGACCTGGTGCTTGATCTTTAGTCCTGAGAATGCTCAAGTCCTCCCAGCAGAGTCCTTAAAAAAATAGAACTTTACAAAGCGCCTCGCTTTCTTTTCAAATTCCAAACAGTAACCGCGCTCGTTTATATTCAGAGTAAGAACACGGAAACGAGGAAATCTACTTCTCTCAATTAAGAGCCTGGATATCTGCTTTAATTTGCTCTAACTAGCTGGGTGGGCTAAAGGAGTCGTTTGCTTCCCGCACCCTGCACGCCCGAAGTCCGGCTGCCCCGCATCGGACGTTCCGGTGCCCTGCGACTCCCGGGGACCCAGACACGGTACCATCCTACCTGCTGTAGGGCGTCCTCAGCAGCAGGGCCTGGCTGCCTGTGCAGCTGTCGGTGGGGGTGTGGCAGCCATAGACTGGGGGTGGCACCGAATACTGCTGCTCGCCTGCAGAGAGCCGGGGAGAGCGGAGTGAGCGCCCCCCCAGGGCTGGGGGTGCGGGGCGACGGGCGGGACTGTGTGGGAGAGCATCCTGAACGGGGCTCCGACGCTAAGCTGGGGGCAATGGAGTCTGGATGCCGGGCGTGCAGAGAGGGGCGTCCAGATGCAATGAGCTAAACTTGCCACTTTGCACTCCCTTACAAAGCACTGCTTAGTACACCGCAAAGGCCTTCGGGACATTCTTAGACTTGGTTGAGTGGAGTTGTCCCTAGCATACTTGGGGGGTCGGAATCGATCTTTTCTTTTAAATTGAGTGAGACTGGGCTAATTATTCCTAAAATCCCTTTACAAGTCCTCTTCTCCCTCCCCAATGTGCTGTGGGTTGGAAATCCATTGGGAGGGAAGGGGGAGGAAGGGGAGAAGGACCCCACATCATTCCCGCCTGCTTACCCAGCGAGCCCTGCTGGCCCATGGGGTCCTCGTGCTTGAAGGAGTGGTTGGGGAACTGCGCCGCGTGGTGCGAGGGCGTGTGGCCGTAGTTGGGCGTTCCGTCGAAGGTGACTGTGCTGTATCCTGCGGGAGCGGCAGAGAGAGCACAGCGTCAGCTGGGAGACGCGGACCGTGGGTCTGAACCAGAGCCCTTGTGGAAGAGCGCCCGGCCCCTCAGTGGGATCCCCAGCCGGAGGGTTTTGCCGATCCACCGGCCTTTGTAAGACTTTGGGCGGGAAGACGGGCCCAAACCCGAGGTGTGTGACCTGGGACCTGCTCTCCGCACTATCCCAACTAAAATTAGCATCTCCCCGCCGTTTCCTAATTTGTTTACACCCTTGCCTTCTACCGTGTCTGCTGCTCCTGGACCTAACCTCCCGCAAGGAAGTATGAAAACCGCCAACCGCTCTGCTGAGAAAGTTGCTCTCCCCCAAAACCAGACACCTCGGCTCTCGCGCAAGGGCAGCGCGGGCGAGGGAAATGAATCTGCTCGGCTGACCCCGCGCTGACTCGGAGCCGTAAATCAGGGGCCCGCGTACCAACTTTCATTAATTACTCGGAGCCAGTTAAACGGCAGGGGCTTTAAATGGGGAGAGTAATTACCGAGTAATGTTATCTGTCTGAGGCTGAGCGACCCGACACCACGACACCCAAGGCCTTTGGGAAATCTAGTGGGGAGAGGAGGCCCTTCCAGTTGGGCCCGTAGGCCTTGACCCTGCGTCCGCTCCCCGCCCCCACCCCCTGCATGGACCCATCTCATACTCAGTGGGTCCCACTCTGACTACCACTGCAGGGACCAACTTCCTCGTGCCCCAGGCCAGGAAGCCTGTTTCTCTTAGAGTCCCTGACTATGTATCTCAACCTCACGGCAGTCCACTGGTTCTCTGCCTGAGTTTCCCTGCCAAGAAATCGAAGGTAATACCATCCGTGTTCTTGCCCAACTCGCTGAAGGTGAGAATTAAAATAACGTGGTGTCTCAGCTGAAAAATGTAGCCTCCTTCTATGATTATTGTAATTAAATTGTTTTAAACATGCCCATCAGCTTCTGGAAAACCTGTTGCACCTCTGGGGGAAAAGTATCCTATGGCTAAGAAAGGGTTCAGTCCTGGAGCCCTGAACCCAATGGGAGGGTTCCCTCCTATCTCGGGAGTCTCTGGCCTGAGGTCCACACCAAGTGACTAATGAGATTGGCCCAAACACTCACATGGGCTCCCAGTAGGACCACACTGGTCCCAGTCCCCTCAACCCCAGCTACTGCTCTGGGTCTCCAAACCCCATTCAATTATTGAGAGTGAAGTGGGTCAAATGGTTCCCATTCCCCCACTCTTGTCCAAAACATGACCCTCTGCAACAAGTGTCCCAGAAAACAAGCTGGACAGAGAAAGTGGACCATTACTCCTATCTTTGAAACACAACCCCCAAAATGGAAACCGAGCCTCCACAGGCCCAGTCTGGGGAATGCGTGTGTCAGAGTGGGAGGAAGGATTGGGGCAGATCTTAATTACCGAATTGTACAGGTCAGGCCAAGTATCGCACATCAATTGGCGCCACAGGTCTACAACTTAAGAAGCCACCAGATTCTATAATTGCATGACCCCAGAGGCCTCCATTTCTCGCCTGCTAAGTGGGCAAAGATAACCCCCCGCCCCGTTGCACTTCCTTTTGGAAAGGGAGGCCAGCCTCTGTTGATCAGCTTACAAACGAAATTTGGCTCTGAGCATCCAATTTTGTAGAGAGAAGGCCGAATTGTGAAAAGAAACTTTTTTTTTCCCCAATAAAAGAGAAACAAGCGACAAAGAAATTGCCTCTTGACGAACCCTTCTCCGTTCCTGAGCCAAAGAGTAAGCAAGCGGTGGCCCCGGGCACCGTGCGGTTCTCGGAGGCGGGCTCCAGGACTGTCGGTTAGCGACAAGGACCACGGGTTGCGGCTGCAGCATGGCCTCCAAGCCCGACGGGGCTCCCCAGGGCCCCTCCCAGACAGGACACGCACACTCGGGTGGACAGGGGACGGCCTCCAACCCCGTTCCTTTAGTTCCCCCGGGAGGGGCAGTGGTGAAAGCTCGGGCCGATAGTAGGGAGGGCTCTTTTAATTAGAAGCTTATCAGACGCGGGGCTGATTAGAGCGCGTAGTCCTGAGGCCTCGCGCTGGGCCCGGCGCGGTGAGCGCGGGGGCGGGGGCCCGGGGAGGCACAGCTGCCGGCAGAAAGGGGCAGCGTGTTCAAAGGTTCCTTGCACAGCTTATACAGACCCTAGAGGAAGAGACTCCAGTTCCAAGGTAGCGCCTTTCCCACGGTTAGTCTCCACCGGGAAGAGAGTGCAACCTTGACCGCGCCAAAAGGCGAGACTGCTCTGCACCTCTCTCCCCCGCTGTCGCAGGCGGAGGAGCGAGGGAACCACCTGGCGGGGCTGGCGCCCCCCACCCACCCACTGAGGTGAGGGGTGCAGTGGACAGCAAGCAGTTAGGAAAGGTAGTCAGGCGGCTGGTACTGCTGACTTCGCAGCTGTTAGCAGGATACCGGGGAATCTGTCCCACAACGAAATACCCTTTTCAGTGTATTCAGAGGGCGTCCTTGGGTCCTTGGGCCAAGCTGGTCCCCAGTGATCCCTAGGGTGGCTGGTGATGCCAAGGCCTCCTCTTGAGCTATGGTTCGATGCTACAGTGGGTCTTGGGGAATGGGCCTGACTGATAAGCCATCTTTTTTCCCCTTCCCCAAACCCCTGCACTTAATCTGGGATACCCCAGTCCTCACCCCACTTATGCCCTGGGAAACTCCCTAACTCTCACACACTGACTATAGTGGTTTGGATGCCCATTTAGTGGGACAGAGTAAATCCATGTCAACCGTGGGCCAGGATTCCTGGAAACGGAGGTAGAAATAGCCTAGAAATAGTGTGTGTTTGAGTCCCAGCTCTGCCAGAAGCTGAGACCTCTTCTTTCACACTTAATCACTTAAAACCCAAATTTCCTTATCCAAAAATAAGGGTCTCCTCCAGTGTCAGGCTGTCAGTTTATGGTAAAGTGGAGGCACTTGGTCTTAATATTCAATTTCCAGTGCATTGCACAGAGGTAGGTGCTCAATGAATGTTTGCTGAACCAATGTTTAGAAAGAAGTGAGGTTAAGGCATCAGCTATAAATGTTTTTAAGAAATAGAAAAAACATATTTAAGAAATAGAAAAAAAATTAGGTTTGGTGCCTGGGGTGGCGAAGAGGTGAGAGGTTGACAGCAACTGTCCTCTCTTGTGGGTCATGGTTAGGCTGCCCTATTTGGGGACAAGGATCCAGGTCTTTTCTCCTCTCCACTGGAGTTTGGCCTGGGCCTGCTGATGGCCATGTCTACACTTTGGAGAAGGAGCTGATGCCCTTGTTTCCCTCAGCCCAAGCCTCCCAACAGGCCCTACATTCCTGGAAGAGCCACAGAAACCCCCCAACCCCCGGAAGTCAAGAGAATAAATCTGGAATCTCCAGGCCTCAGGGCCTACCCAGGGCCAACATCAGGGCTGAAATGGGAATAGTTTCTGACATTCCCACCCCAGCTCCCAGCTGCCAAGTGAGCTCGAAGAGCTGAACCAGCAGCCCATTTATGTTTTCACTGCAAGAGCAAACCTAAACCCAAGGACAACCTGGGCTTTCAGGCTGCGGCCCCAACCTTGAGGCCAGCTCTCCACTGGGCTTCTCTTCAGGATGGTGAGGGGGGAATTCTTTCACGGTCTAGTCCCGGTGTCCATCTCTCAAACCTTTTTTCTCTTTGGCAGCAGGCCTATCTCCTAGGGTAGTGCCCACTGGCTTGGAAGCCCACAGTTGGCCTCCCCATCCCACGCTGTGTTGATGGGATCCTGGACAACAGACCTGCCCTGCAGAAGGCTGAACACAGGGGCCCAAAGACAGCGACAGAGCCCTGGTTCCAAAAATGTATTTAGATGGACTCAAATGATAATGGTGCAATAGTATTTTGCTGTTGGGAGACTGGCTTCTCTGGCCTCTCCATACAGCACACATCTATCTATACAGAAACTCACATCACACACCTACGTGCCTGCCAGTCTTGGCCAGAGGGACCAGTCAAGTTTAGGTGGGCTGCTCTCCTTTTGCTATTTAGAACCCCAAGCCACGGAAAGCCAGGCTTCTGCATAGATCATCAGGCCAGTCCCAATACCCAGCTTGTCCATCTCAACCCCCTCTTACAGATGGGGAAACTGAGACCTGGAGATTTGCCAAAGGTAACAGCCTGCTAATTAGAAGTGGCACGATCAGAGAAGAGAAGCCTCTAAGAGGGACACGGAGCTGCTCCAACACCCTTTGAGTCAGATACATTAATTTCACTTAGGAAAGATCTAGAGTGGAGAGACTCCCAAGGGACAGGGATCCTAGATTCCCCTGACGAAGAGAGGAAGACGGTTTCGTTTTCGCCGGGGCTTCCTGTGGACCAAGTGCTCCTGGCCGGGCTACGGTAGAGACAGACCACCTGGAGATAACGCATTTAGAAGGTGAGCGAGATCTCGGAAACAGAGCCCTTCTTACGCACCTTGCTAGCCCCAGAACCTCCTGCAAACTACACACTCTGCTTCTACCACCCTTCGCATTACAGAAACATCCCAGTCTTTAGGCCAGCGACAAATTTAGCTCCAGGAAAAGCATCGACCATTGCCTTTGTAAAGTATTTCCTAAAATATCGAATTAACCCAAATTGGTTTAGGTTCTCAACGGCGCAAAAAGCAATTAAAATGCATTTAGAAACCAAACTACCATAAACCGACCCGACGGTTCTCTGCTGGTCCCAGAGAAAGATGTGTGCGGGCGCCCGTGCGGGACGAGAAAACTACCGTCTGTGCCCCTTGATACACAATGACTGAAAACGGCAAACAAACCTGTCCTTGTTCCAACCCCCAAGGCTTGCAAAAATCTTTCCCCAGCTGAGCCCCGTATTCGATGACGAGGTGGCGCCTGTAGCACGGACCTCCTGTCGTTGCCTGTGGTAGGCCTCAGCCCCCGCACAGCTTGAAATCGGACAAAAGGGGTTCTCTTCCAGCCCTGGAGCCCGCGTGGCCACTACCTGAGCTGGAACCGAGGAGAGATCCGCTTCCATATAGCATACGGAGCCTGGGAGCCAGGCGCAGACACGGACGTAGTTTCAAGGAAAGCCACTGATTAGTTGCAATCCCTTTCATTGACCCATTCTCGTGCTCCGTGATACCTATTGTGCGTCTAATGTGTACCCTGGACATTTTGGTGCGGCGGAGACAAGCTCGGGCTGCTCATCCTGTGATGGTCCCACTCTGAATCCAGTCTAGATGTCTGAAAGTACAATACCATGTGACAGTTTGGTGGAGACTTGAGCGACAAAACCTCCGAGGAACATCCAGACACTGCATCAGTTCCCCCTTCCCACTCCCATGGAGACTCGCAGTCCCGGAATTTTCAGGGGTCGGAGGAGCCCCAAATGACCTCCCGGCTCTTGCGAACAGCCCGGTTCCCAAGGATGTCAGGAGCCCAAGCCGGCGTGTTCTCCCTCTCTCCGGCCTTCGCTCCCCCGGCTGCTGCTTCCGCTACCCTCAGTTTTTGGGGAGGCAGCCAGTAAGAGCTGGGGTCAGGGAAGGGGTTGGACAAAGAAGTACCCGCGAGCGACCACAGCCCCCTCGCCACCGCCCCGCGCGTAGGGGGCGCTCCCCGGCCTGCTTACCCTGGTTGCGAATAGCGGGCTGGCTTTCGAGGCAGCTGGGCAGGTAGGGCGCGTTGGGGAACATCCTGGCCTGGCCGGAGGACGCCTGGCTGGGCGGAGGAGGACCAAAGGGTCCGTAGCGACAGGCTCCAGCTGTGCCGGTGAACTGACCAGAGAAGTGGACGGTGAAGGCGCTCAAACACTGCTCCTCGTGCGGCTCTGCACCGCCCCAGCTCGGTTCCTGTTTGATGAAGGAGTGAGGCGGCGGCGGCGGCGGGGGTGGCGGCGGAGCCGGCGGCGGGGCAGGACCGCCCAACGAACTGTATGCGGAGGCGCCCGGGGGCGCGAAGTCCAGCACCGGTGCCCACTGCGCGGCGCCGCTCACGGGTAGGGCGCAGCCGCCGCCTCCACCCAGGGAGGGTACCGCTGGCAGCAGCGCGTTCAGGTCCCGCAAGTCTGAGCCCATTTGCTGCAGCTCTGCCCCGGACGCCCCGCGGCTCCTCCGATCTTGCAGACGTTCGGTGCTTGACTCGGCCACGCCTAACTTGGCCCAGATGCCACCCGGGCCCCGGATCCCCGACTGTTCAGGCTGTTGAAGACACCCAGGTCCAGAGCGTAGCGTGTGCGAAGATGCCGGCTCCAGGACACACGTGGAAGCCGGCTCCGGAGGCAGGAGGAAGTCCAGGATCGCGGTGAGGAGGCGGCGGGGCCCCGGTTCCTGGGCTGCAGTCCCGGCTGTGGGTGGGTGGGTGGATGAATGAGTGGGAGGGTGGGCGGGAAAGGGGGAGCGGACAGGCGGTCTGGTTTCGGAGAACCCCCGGGTGTGGGCGCTGCCCTGAACTCCTTATCCAAGCTGCCTAGCAGCCCCCAGCTTCCCAAAGCTCAAATAAGAGGGGCCGGCGGCGTGGGAGGAGGAGGAGCCAGGAGTTTCGGCCACTCCATTCACACTGCAGTCCAAGCCGGTCCAGGCATAGCGCGAGGCTCCGGGGCGCCCTCGCAGGGGGGCGGGCGGGGGGCTGTGGGAGCGTCCTCCTGGGAGACACCCTCCTCTCCTACCCGCCGAGCTCTCCTAGCCGGCCTGTAGCACACAACCCTCCTCCTCCCCACCTCCCTTACTCCGCCTTCGCGAGTGTGGGCGCCTCGGGGCACTGGTGAGTCTCTCCAGGTGAGCAGTGAGTGTCCCCTCTGCATCTATGTGTGATGGGGGTAGGGATCGGGTTGTTAATCTAAGAGGGCGGGTTGGAGGGAGGGGCAGGGCGCTCCACGAGGGCGGGAACTTCTTGAAAACGCAGAAAACTTTTCCGGACTCCAAAGAAGCGGATTCTCTTGCTCTGCGCGAAAGAGTCTGGCTCTCGCTCTTAGAGCCGTCGGGCTGGAGTGGTGGTCATAATCTCGGGGTCTCTGGGGAGGAGAGTGGACCCTTGTGGGTTCCGGAGGTCAGACTCAAGGCAAACGTGGGTGACGTGAAGGAATTGCTTCAGTTGTGATAAACCGGGCTTATTTCGATCATCTGGTAATTGGTTACTTGGTGAGGCTGCCGCCTACCTAAAATCGGAGTCAGGGGCCTTTAACCTTTTCGGGTCAGGAGTGTCTAACTCTTACGGTGAAGCCGGGAAACAGCAGCTGGTTTGGGAAGGAAGAAAACTCTTAGGGAAACGCCCAGAACCTGCATACATTCCTGCCGGAGAATCCAGGCGCCCAATCTGGGAGTTGGGGTGGGGAACGGGCAGGATTTGGGTACGAAGCCCGCAGGGGTAGTTGGTTTCTGGAGCCGCTCCTGCCGAGCTCTGCTCCATCCACAGTCGGGAGTACCATTCTGAATTCGCAGTAATTGGTCAAGGAGCACGAGCCAGTTAGGCAGACCGAGGAGGAGAGCCTCCAGAGACCCACGGTCCAGTTCGGGGAGCTCCGAGAGCCTGACATCACCAAATCAGACTCCTCCCTCCACCTAGTCACTCTTTGGGGAACCCTCACCTCAGAACAGGTGTTTGAGGTTTTGTATTGTATTGTTTCCAAAATAAGTCAGCATCTGACGCTGGGCAAGGAGAAGCGCTGGGAACCCTGGTTGGAGTGCGTTTCAGGGGCGCTTGGAAATGCCCAGGAGAGCCAGGAGGCAGCCGGGACGCGCAGCCTTTGGGATGACCAGTAGCTCCCAGCAGGAAGCGGCCGGTTGCCGCCAGGCCTCTTACACCAGGCTGGTCGGAGATGGGTAGTTGGAGTTTTAAAAAGAAACCGAGAGTGTTTTTTTGTTTGTTTTTTTAAAAAAAACCCTTTGACTTACTCTCCATCTCTGACTCTTCGGTTTTAGTTAATTTGCACTAAGTAAACGAAGCAGCCGTGGGTTCTGGCTGAAGACTCGAAGCTTGTGCGGGCTCGGGACCTACACGCTAAGCTCATTTCCCTCCTCTTGGGGTCGCTGGTCCTGGAGGCGCGGAGACTGTGAGGGTAAAGGTCAGGAACACGCGCTTCCCGCTTGCTCCCCGGGCCACTGTCGAAGTCGTGGAGACCTCTCTGCACAACTTTCGTGCCTGACTTTGGCTCTAGAGGCCATCTCCTTCTAACCCCTACATTCAGTAGGTCCCCAACTCCTCTCCCGCACGCCCCGTCTCTCAGCCTGCAGCGGGACTCGAGGGCTGGGCAGAAGACGCGTGTTTGGTCTTTTTGGTAGAGAAAGGTCGGGCGAGTTCTGAAACCAAGTTGCCCCTAGAATGTCCCAGACACCTTTCTTACACCCTACCTTTTTCTGACACCCCCACTTTTATTTCTCCTTCGAAGTCGTTTTTCCTAACTAGAGCGCAACCAAGCGCTACAGGAAAGACGAACCATTTAAGAAAAGCCAGGGATTCAATTTCCCATCGAAAAGGTCAAAGATTGTTTCTCTTTTATTCTTCTTTGCAAGTTTGGAGGGAGTATTTTGAAGAGTATAGCTTGAATGTGAGCTTTTATGTTCTTGAATCATAGGGCAAGCGCGCTTAACTCTCCGCCTTTACATAAACAATAAAGTTTTTGCCCAGGGATGGGGTGGGGTGAGAGGGGAGTTGAACCAATTGTAGTATGATGCCATTTCAACCTTCGGGTGCTCCCTCGCCCCGACCTCGTAGTCCTAAGCGGTGGGGCCGAAAAGTGCTGCGCGTCGGGAGTCAGAGCGCCTCACCCGAGAGGAAGTCGAACTCCTCCCTCCTTCCCCAAGCCCGGGAGCCCCGGTGCCCCGGGAACAACGCTGGGGAACTCGCAAACTATTGAGGTTGCAGGGCGCCCCCGCTCCCCACTTCTCCCACCCCTGGGTAACATTCTCTGCGGGAGCTCTGAGGTTACCCAGGCGGCCCCGCCCGCCACGCTGCCTTCGGCTCCCTGAGCTGGGCCAAGGGACACAGTCTGGCGGGGTTCAGGAAGGTCCACACCCCGCCAGCCCGGCAGGTCGGCGCTCTCCTGCACCTCCTGCGGGTCGAGGCCTGTCGAAGGGCCCGGGGAGATGTGGACTGCCGAGGCCTGGCAGCTCCTCTCTCTCACCCACCTTTCCACCCCCGTCAGCGCAGGGACCAGTGGCGCAGAGGATCTTGTTTGCACCACCGATTGGCAGAGATGGAAATTCAACACCTCGTTCCACGGAGAAGGAAACTGAGGCCCAGGCGGAAGGAGGTAAGGCAGCCGTGGAGCTCAGATGGTTAAGAGCAAGGGGTTGGTGGCCAGAGAATGGAGAATCAGCTCTACCGGGTAACCAACAGCTGTGTAACCCTAGACGATTTTCATAGCCTCTCTGAGCCTCAGTTTCTTAACTGGTCAAACGGGATAATGTGATGCTAGCGCCTGCCTCACAGGATAGTGAGGAGTAGACAGGAGGATAGAGTTGGTCTGTGTACACAATAAATGTCACAATTTTTGTTAACTATTGTTAGACACGTAGCAAGTTAGTGGCAAAACTGAGCTGAAACGCACACACCACCATCCCCTCTGCCTCTCCAGAGCTAATGGTATGGAGAAGAAAAAAAAGTAAAGAAGGACGAATAAACTATGGAAACAATCAAAAAGGAAAAAAAAAAGGAAGGGGAAAGAGAGACACTGGGAACCCGTGTGACTTTGGACAGTTGGTAAAGCGCACCCTGGCCGGAAAGGTGCTTAATTATTGCAAGATCAAAAAATTGTGACTGACTGGGAGGGGGCGGTGAGGACCTATAAACCCTCCACTTTGACCCTGGCGCTGTCAGCTGTAGCAGACTAAACCCTGAGTCGGGCCCTGCAGCCGCGGCCCCAGGGACCCGCGCATACTCCCGGGCTGCGCTCCGGCCGTCACCCGGCGGCTGTGGACAACTGAATAAACACTACGAAGCGCTGTGATCTGTCAAGGACTGGGATCGCCGGCCCGCGCCGGGAGGAACTGGGGGAACCGGGGGGGGGGGGGGGGGCTTTATTGGTGCACGGCGCAGGGGCCAGCGCCCGGAGTTCCACGCAAAGCATCAGCAGCCTGACCGCTGTACCTCTCCGCCCCTCCGACTCCAACTCTTAGGAATCTGCCTACTCTGTCCGGGCCGCTGGGCAGGCTTTTAGGCTGCTTTCCAACCCCATGCTGGCGGTAGAAATCACACTTCTTTAAACTGAAAACAATAATGATAAAGTAAGGGAGGGACTTTTGTTATAATCCACCCCCAGGTCCCCACCCTGCTCCCTCTGTTAATTTGAAAATTAACTCGATTTTTTCCATTGATCCCCCACCCACATTCAAAATTAAATTATCTGACCCAGTTTTAGGGCCCTGGACCTACACACACTGCCGGGTGCGCAACGCAAAATTTCCCCCTCACCCCAGCTCGCAGTGTTACTCGTCTGTTCTGATGCCACCGCGAGATGGTCCCCGAGCTCCTAGAGAGTCCCCAATGAAAAGATTCAGCAGCGCTGCCTCAATTCTTATACCGTAAATCTTTTTAAATTCTGGAACTAATTATATAGAGGATATGTCTCAATTTGTTCTACATTAATGCCACAGTGGGGATGGAGGCCGGCCGTGGCCAGAGCAGATACGTAGGCCCATGAAATTGATGAACTGAGAGTTGCTTCCAGTCCTCAGCGCACCATCTGGAATTCCAGTCTGAGGTTACAATTAGAACTCCTGACCCCAGATTCAACTTTGCAAACAACAGGGGAAAAAATAGGAAAAAGAAAAAACCAAGAGAAAAAAATAAACCACCCAGCTTATTCTGCACCTGTAAAAAAAAAAAAAAAAAAAAAATCCCCACGCAATCTTAAAATCTTTCCATCTTAGAAAACTCTTTCCAAGTATTTCTTTTGTGTTTTTAACCTATAAAAGATAATGGAACATATTTTATAGACTGGATTTTATCTTATTCCCTTTCCCTCTCCCAAATGCACTCAGTTTAATAGTTGTCTGTTTCTCCTGTGTTGGATTTAATTATATAGATCCAAAATATTCCTCAGTAAATTAGCTTGCTGAATATTGTCACTTTTGTGATTCTGCCTTTGAGAAGCAGCTTAATTACAGAAATCTATCTGGATCTAAGAACGTCTTTGACTGTTTCTCCGTAATCAGAGATTTTATTTGTGTGTCAATTTGTGTTTTAAATTGGTTGGGCCAATTTCTCTCTTTCTTTAGTAACACGCTGCTTTATTTTCCTCTCACTTTGACCTCCTGAAGAAAACAAGGGACCCGGCAGTACGGGGAATCTGTTAAATTTATTGGCATAAATGCTTAGACAAAACGAGATATAAATCATTCAGATGTATTAAGCCATAAAGTATCCCAATGAACTCAGTCCCTCTGCAGGTCCTAGTGTATAAAGGTGCTTATAAAACAAGATATCAGTATTATCTTTCAAACTGAATATATGTTGTGAAAATACCCAAATG